CAGAAGAGGTCAGGGCCAGCGGCCTTTCCTTTCCTCCTGCTACACACACCACTGCCCTGCCCACTTCCCCATCCTCGCCTGGGGCTCCACCCTTACACACAGACACACACCCTTACACACCCTTACACACAGACACGGATACACCATACACACAGACATAACATACACAACATACATACAGACACAGATACACCATACACACAGATGCAACACACACACACACACACACACACACACACACACACACACTCCTCGTGCTCCTGTCTTCCAGCTTTCTTCAGCCTTCTTTCAGTTCTTCAGAGTCCCTACCTTCTCAGCCTCAGAGCCCCACCACTGCTACCATGTCACCACTGCTTGGAACACTTTTTTTTTTTATTTTTTTTTGAGATGGAGTCTTACTCTGTCACCAGGCTGGAGTGCAGTGGTGCGATCTTGGCTCACTGCAACCTTCACCTCGCCTCTGGAGTTCAAGTGATTCTCCTGCCTCAGCCTCTGGAGTAGCTAAGATTATAGGTGCACGTCATCACACCTGGCTAATTTTTGTATTTTTAGTAGACACGGCATTTTGCCATGTTGGCCAGACTATTCTTTAACTCCTGGGCTCAAGTGATCCGCCTGCCTCAGCCTCCCAAAGTGCTGGGATTACAGGCGTGAGCCACCGTGTCTGGCTGGATCACTCTTCCTCCACCTTTTGCCACGTCAGTGCCTTCCTAGCAATCCTTCAGATTTCAGCTTTGTATCTGTTTCCATGTCTCAAAGAAATCTTCCCTAACTTCCCATATTAGATAATTCTTCCCCTGTAAAATACCTTCTTTCTTTTAAAAGAAAATTGTCACTGAAGAACACGCAGAAAAGTGCACAACTCCAAAGAGTCCAACTCAATCTATTCCTACGGTGTGAGTATTGCCCAGATCAAGACTCCGGATTCACTGCAATCCAAAACACCTCTTCTCTCCATCGCCCACCATCCTGTTCCCCAAAGGCAACCTCTATTCTGACTTTACACAACATAGATTTTTTTTTTTTTTTCTTTTTGAGATGGAGTCTC